GCATTCGTGCACAGTGAGTTACAGGCATTTAAAGGCAAGCAATGCTACTTGCGTTTCTTTTGGAAGCCACTGTATAATAATTAAATAATTAATTGTAACGTGGCTTAAAAGAAAATAAATTATGAGAAATTTGTTTACAATAATTAAAAGTGGTAAAATGTACATATATAATGAGAAATCAATAAATATTGTGTTTTAATAAATCTGAGTAATTTTAAACCTGAGTTAACTCGAATTAATTATTATAATAGATATTAAAATATTAATAAAATCTTTAGATGCTTAGATGCTTTTATGCAAAATAACTAGAGTTCTATTTTGTTTCTACATTAGCAATTATTCAAAGGTATTTATCATTTTTTTTCCAAATCCTATAATGAAAATTGTAAATAAATTAGATTTTTCCTTTAATAATTAGATTTTTATTTATGTTTTTTTAATATTTATATTATTGTTAAAAAAGTATAAATAAAATAAATAAATATCAATTAAATAAAACAAATGTTAAAAACATTTTAAACTGTAAATAAGTTTAAATTATAGTGATAAGTTTAATTATAAATAAATTTAAACTATTAAATATATATAAATTATCAAATATAATTTTATGTTCACTTATAAGTTTTTTATCATAAACTTAAACTTGAAATTGGACTAATTATGAATAATAACGATATTGATGTTTTAGTTAATAAATCTGACATGTAATAAATAAAGTGATATTTATTTACTTATATAGAATGTATGTAATGATAAAATGATGACATTATCATTAAGCAAATTGATATCACAAAAATAATTACTTTTTATTAATTTTATTAAATAAATATACCAATATAATTCAAACAATAAAAGTATCAGTTATCATTGCAAAAATTATTTATTAAGAGATATGCAAAAAAATTTACTATCAATAATATACAATATCGCAATATATTCATAAACTAAACATAACTTATTCCAAAAATGTTAAAAACTTTTTATATAATTCTTTAGCATCTGTCAATACATCAATAGCGTTTGGTCTCTCTTGTGGATTTGATTTCATTAACTTTTTACCAAAATCTGTAATTTCACTTGGTAACCTGAATGAATAATCAATAATGAGAAATCTAACACTCCAGATATCTGTTGATATCCTTCCCTAATTTCTGATGCATGACTATTTTTCTCTAATCCTTCTTCCTTCAAATATTGAGGTGAGTAACAAGCAAATTCAAAATCAATGAGAAACCATTTGTCATTATCACGATACTTCACAATGTTTTGCCAATGTATATCATAATGCATTATTGGAATATTATGCATCACCTATAGATTATGAAGGTAATAAGTAATATATTTTGCTTTAGAATTTTCAAAGATTTCTAATTAATTTACCAATAGTTCTTCTAGAACACAGCATACTGCAAATAACATTTCCTTTAAATCTTTTGGATATAATACATCTCCTTGTGGTTGAAAATAGCATGAGCTTTTGTAGATCTTTTCAATATTAGGCACATTATTGAGTACTTTATATATTTCATTCAAATGTTTAATAATAC